CTGCCTGCCAGGCCCCGCCCTGCCCACCCGGCCTCACCTGCGCGCCCACCTGCGCGCCGGCCCCGCCCCTCGTGTGCCACGTGCCGAGCCGGCGCCGCTTCCGCGCCTTCGACGGCCGCACCTGGCGGCTGCCGCTCACCTGCCCGCTGGTGGCCGCCTGCGGGGGCGCACCTGGGCTCCAGGTGTGGCTCTGGCGCCGGGCGGGCCCCGCGCAGGTGAGCGTGGCCGCAGCCGGGCTGCAGGTGGAGCTGAGGCACGGAGAGGGGAGAACGGCCTGGGTGAGTGACGCACCTGCACAGGTGTGCCGTGTCCCCAGGTGTGTTCCTGTCCCAGGTGTGTCCTTGTCCCTGTCCCAGGTGTGTTTCACCTGTCCCAGGTGTGTTTCACCTGTCCCAGGTGTGCCCCAGGTGTGTCCTTGTCCCTGTCCCAGGTGTGTTTCACCTGTCCCAGGTGTGTCCCACCTGTCCCAGGTGTGTCCCTATCCCAGGTGTGTCCTTGTCTCTGTCCCAGGTGTGTCCCAGCTGTGTCGCTGTCCCAGGTGTGTCCCTATCCCAGGTGTGTTCCACCTGTCCCAGGTGTGCCCCAGGTGTGTCCTTGTTCCTGTCCCAGGTGTGTCCTTGTCTCTGTCCCAGGTGTGTCCCACCTGTCCCAGGTGTGCCCCTATCCCAGGTGTGTTCCACCTGTCCCAGGTGTGTTCTGGTCTAGGTGTGTTCCTGTTCCTGTCCCAGGTGTGTCCCAGCTGTGTCCCTGTCCCAGGTGTGTCTCTGTCCCAGGTGTGTCCTTGTTCCTGTCCCAGGTGTGTCCCACCTGTCCCAGGTGTGTCCCAGGTGTCTCCTTGTCTCTGTCCCAGGTGTGTCCCTATCCCAGGTGTGTTCCACCTGTCCCGGGTGTGTCCCAGGTATGTTCCACCTGTCCCAGGTGTGTCCTTGTCCCCATCCCAGGTGTGTCCTTGTCTGTCCCAGGTGTGTCCCTATCCCAGGTGTGTCCCACCTGTCCCAGGTGTGTCCCAACTGTCCCAAATGTGTGTCTCAGCTGTCCCAGGTGTGTCCTTGTCCCAGGTGTGCTCTGTCCCAGGTGTATCCCTGTTCCGGTCCCAGGTGTGTTCCTATCCCAGGTGTGTCCCACCTGTCCCAGGTGTGTCCCAATTGTCCCAAATGTGTGTCTCAGCTGTCCCAGGTGTGTCCTTGTCCCAGGTGTGCTCTGTCCCAGGTGTATCCCTGTTCCGGTCCCAGGTGTGTTCCTATCCCAGGTGTGTCCCTGTCTCTGTCCCAGGTGTGACACCTGGCCACAGGTGTGTCCCAGGTGTGTTCCTGTCCCAGGTGTGTCCCAAGTTTGTCCCGTGTGTGTCCCAGGTGCGTCTCACCTGTCCCAGGTGTGCCTCACCTGTCTCATCAGGTGTGTCTCACCAGTCCCTGGTGTGTGTCCCACCTGTCCCATGTGTATCTCAGGTGTGTCTCACCTGTCCCAGGTGTGTGTCCCTCACCCTGTCTGTCTCACCTGTCCCAGGTGTACCCCAGGTGTGTCCCACCTGTCTCACCTGTCCCAAGTATATCTCACCTGTCTCACCCTGTGTGTCTCACCTGTCCCAGGTGTGTCCCCACCTCTCTCACCCTGTCTCACCTGTCCCAAATGTGTCTCACCTCTCTCACCTCTCTCACCTGTCCCAGGTGTGTCTCACGTGTCTCACCTGTCCCAGGTGTGTCCCATCTCTCTCACCTGTCTCACCCTGTGTGTCTCACCTGTCGCAGGTGCGCGGCCGCCCGGTGTCGCTGCCGGTGTCCCTGGCCGGGGGGCGTGTCCAGGTGCGGCGCCGGGCGGGGCAGCGCCAGGTGCTGCTCCCCTGGGCGGGGCTGCAGGTGAGCCTGGCAGGCGACGGCGCCGTCACCGTCACGGCGACAGCGACGGCCAATGGGGGGCTCTGCGGGGCCTGCGCCCAACCGCGCACCTGCCGGACAGGTGAGGGCACACCTGGGACAGGTGAGGGGGTGGGGGACAGGTGAGGGGCTGGGGGGCAGCTGGGGGACAGGTGAAGGGATGGGGGACAGGTGAGGGCACACCTGGGACAGGTGAGGGAGTGGGGGGCAGCTGGGGGACAGGTGAGGGGATGGGGGACAGGTGAGGGGCTCTGTGGGGCCTGTGCCGAACCGCGCACCTGCCGGACAGGTGAGGGCACACCTGGGACAGGTGAGGGGGTGGGGCACACCTGTGCCACAGGTGAGGGGCTGGAGGGAATTTGGGGGGCAGGTGAGGGACAGGTGAGGAGCCGGGGGGTACCTGTGGGGACAGGTGAGGGCACCTGGGGGGTCACCTGGGGGGCAGGTGAGGGGCTGGGGGGTACCTGGGTGGGGGGACAGGTGAGGGGCTGCAGGGAATTTGGGGGACAGGTGAGGGGCTGGGGGGCACCTGGGGGGCACCTGGGGGGCAGGTGAGAGGGGGGAGGGGCACCTGGGAGGGCTCAGGTGTGCCCCAGGTGTGGGTGGGAAGTCCCAGGTGTGCCCAGGTGTGTCCCTAGATGTCCCCAGCTGTCCCCAGGTACATCCCAGTTGTATCCTAGGTGTGCCCAGGTGTCCCCAGGTATGCCCACATCCATCTAGGTGTATCTCAGGTGTCCCCAGATCGCCCCCAGGTGTCCCCAGGTGTATCTCAGGTGTGCCCAGGTGAGGTCTCATGTGTCCCAGATGTCCCCGGGTCCCCCCACGTGTGTCCCCAGGTAGCCCCAGGTGCCCCCAGGTGTATCTCAGGTGTGTCCCAGATGTCCCCAGCTGTCCCCAGGTACCCTCAGGGTTCCCCAGGTGTGCCCCAGGTGTGTCCCCAAGTTTCCCCAAATGTCCCCAGGTGCATCCCAGGTGCATCCCAGGTGTATCCCAGGTGTATCTCAGGTGTATCCCAGGTGTATCCCAGGCGTATCTCACCTGTCCCAGGTGTATCCCAGGTGTATCCCAGGTGTATCTCAGGTGCCCCCAGGTGTCCCCAGGTGTATCCCAGGTCCCCCCAGGTGTATCTCACCTGTCCCAGGTGTATCCCAGGTGTATCCCAGGTGTATCTCACCTGTCCCAGGTGTATCTCAGGTGTATCCCAGGTGTATCTCACCTGTCCCAGGTGTATCCCAGGTGTATCTCAGGTGTGCCCCCCCCTCACCTGTCGGGGGAGGTTCCCGGACATTCCCCTCCCCCCCATCCATGTCCGGGCCCCTCCCCCCTCTAACCCCTCCCCCCTCTTTTCTCTCTCTCCAGCCCCTCCCCCACCCCAAGCCGCTCCCCCTCCCAGCCCCTCCCCCCGCAGCCCCTCCCCCCCCACCTGCCAGGTGAGCTCGCGGCACTTCCGGAAGGGGCGTGGCCGCCGCCCCTCCCCCCCCTCCCCGGTGGTTCTGCTGCGCACCTGCGCCCCTCCCCCACCCCGGGGAGGCCACGCCCCTCCCCTGGCCCCGCCCCCCGCGCTGGAGGTGGCGCTGGAGGGGGGAGGGGCCAAGGGGGCGGGGCCGGCGACGGTGACGGTGACGGACAAGGAGAGGAGGTGGAGCCTCAGCGGGGGCGGGGCTCAGGTGAGACAGAAAAGGGGGCGGGGCCAAGGGGGAAGGAGCAAAGGGGGGCCCAATGGGGGAGGGGCAATTGGGAACGGGCGGGGCCGGTGACAGTGACGGACAGGGAGAGGAGGTGGAGCCTGAGCAGGGGCGGGGCTCAGGTGAGAGAAAAAAGGGGGCGGGGCCAAGGGGGGAGGGGCAATGGGGAAGGGGCGGGGCCGGTGACGGTGACGGACAAGGAGAGGAGGTGGAGCCTCAGCGGGGGCGGGGCTCAGGTGAGACAGAAAAGGGGCGGGGCCAAGGGGGAGGGGCAATGGAGGAGGGGCAATGGGGAGGGGCAAAGGGGGGAGGGGCAAAGGGAGGAAGAAGATGATGGATGAAAGGCGGATGGAGAAGGATGAAGGATGAAGGATGATGATGAAGATGATGAAGATGATGATGATGATGAATGAATGGAGATGAAGAACATTGGATGATGGATGATGATGATGATGATGATGATGAATGGAGATGAAGAACATTGGATGATGGATGATGATGAATGAATGGAGACGATGATGATGAAGATGATGATGAATGAATGGAGATGAAGAACATTGGATGGAGGATGATGGGTGATGGTGAGGATGATGATGATGATGACGATGATGGAGGATGGAGATGAAGAAGGTTGGATGAAGGACAATGATGGATGATGGAGTGGATGATGATGCTGATGAAGATGATGATGATGGATGAAGGTAGATTACAGAAGGCTGGATGATGATGATGATGGAATGGATGAAGATGATGATGATGATGAATGATGGAGATGAAGAAGGTTGGATGAAGGACAATGATGGATGATGGAGTGGATGATGATGCTGATGAAGATGATGATGATGGATGAAGGATGAATACAGAAGGCTGGATGAAGGATGATGGTGATGATGGAATGGATGAAGATGATGACGATGACAATGATGACAGTGATGAATGATGGAGATGAAGAAGGTTGGATGAAGCGTGACGATGACGATGGAGTTGATGACGACAATGATGATGATGGATGAAGGATGGATGGAGCAGGTTGACTGAAGGATGATGACGATGATGATGAAGGAGTTGATGATGATGAATGATGGAGATGAAGAAGGTTGGATGAAGCGTGATGATGACGATGATGGAGTTCATGGTGATGATGATGACGATGATGACAAAATGATGACGATGACGATGACGATGATGATGATGACAATGATGTATGATGGAGATGAAGAAGGTTGGATGAAGGATGATGACAAAATGATGCAATGATGATGATGATGATGATGACGATGATGAATGATGGAGATGAAGAAGGTTGGATGAAGCGTGATGATGACGATGATGGAGTTCATGATGATGATGATGATGACGATGATGACAATATGATGACGATGATGATGATGATGATGACGATGATGACAAAATGATGATGATGATGATGATGATGACGACAATGATGTATGATGGAGATGAAGAAGGTTGGATGAAGGATGATGATGACGATGGCACTGATGGTGATGATGGAGTGGATGATGATGATGATGGCAATGACAATGACGATGATGACGACGATGATGAGGATGATGTTGGAGTTGATTATGATGATGATGATGAATGAATGATGATGATGACGGAGTGGATGATGATGATGATGATGATGGAGTTGATGACCATTATGATCATAATGATGATGATGATGATGACAACGATGACCATGATGACGATGATGCTGATGGATGAAGGTTGAATGGAGAAGGTTGGATGAAGGATGACGATGATGACGATGATGATGATGATGATGGAGTTGATGATGATGACGATGATGATGGTGATGACGATGATGATGACCATGATGATGATGATGATGATGATGATAATGATGATGGTGATGATAATGATGATGATGATGGTGATGACGATGATGATGACCATGATGATGACCATGATGATGACCATGATGATGATGACAATGACGATGATGATGATGATGAATTAATGATCATGATGATCATGATGATCACGATGACCATGATGACCATGATGACCATGATGATGACCATGATGACAATGACGATGATGATGACGATGACAATGATGACGATGATCACGATGACAATGACGATGATGACGATGATGATGATGAAGCCCCTCCCTCCCTCCCCAGCTGGACGGATCCCCCCTCCCGCTGCCCTTCTGCCTCCCGGACGGCTCCGCCTGCGTTGGCCCCGCCCCCGGCCCCGCCCCCGGCCACGCCCTGCTGCTGGTGACCCCTGACCTGCGCGTGGCCACCGGCCCCGGGGACGGCGTGGAGGTGACCGTGTCCCCAAGGCTGCGCCACGCCACCTGCGGCCCCTGCGGACGCTTCCGGAGTGACCGCTGGAGTGACCGCGGGAGTGACCACGGGAGTGACCACGGGAGTGACCGCGGGGACAGCAGGAGTGACCGCAGTGACCACAGGGACAGCAGGGACACCAGGAGTGACCACGGGAGTGACCACGGGGACAGCAGGAGTGACCACAGGGACAGCAGGGACACCAGGAGTGACCACGGGAGTGACCACGGGGACAGCAGGGACACCAGGAGAGACTACGGGGACAGCAGGGACAGCAAGGACAGCAGGAGTGACCACGGGAGTGACCACGGGGACAGCAGGAGTGACCACAGGGACAGCAGGGACACCAAGGACAGCAGGAGTGACCGCAGGGACATCAGGAGTGACCACAGTGACCGCAGGGACATGGGGAGTGACCATGGGAGTGACCGCAGGGACACCAGCAACGACCTCGGCACTGACCACAGGAGTGACCACAGTGACCGCACGGACACCAGGGACACCGGGAGTGACCACAGTGACCGCGAGGACACTGAGAGTGACCATGGGGACATGAAGAGTGACCATGGGGACACCAGGAGTGACCATAGAGAGACAAAGAGTGACCGCAGGGACACCAGGAGTGACCGCAGGAGTGACCATGGGAGTGACCGCAGGGACATCAGGAGCGACCACGGGGAGACCAGGAGTGACCGCGGGGACAATGGGAATGACCGTGGCAGTGACCGTGGGGACAACGGCAGTGACCACAGGGACACCAGGGACACCGGGAGTGACCACAGGGACATCAAGAGTGACCATGGCAACACTGGGAGTGACCACAGCGACCACGGGGAGACCAGGAGTGACCACAGGGGCACCAAGAGTGACCGCAGTGACCACAGGGACACTGAGAGTGACCACAGGGACACCGGGAGTGACCGTGGGGACAATGGGAGTGACCACAGGGACACCGGGGACACCGGGAGTGACCATGGCAACACTGGGAGTGACCACAGGGACATCAAGAGTGACCATGGGGACACCAGGAGTGACCGCAGCGACACCAGAAGTGACCATGGGGACACCAAGAGTGACCACGAGAACACCAGGAGTGACCCCAGGAGTGACCACGAGGAGCCCGGGCCGTGTCCCCGGGGTCGCTGCCGTGAGTGGACACGGGACAGGGACAGGGACACGGGGGGGGGGGGGTGGTGGGGACCTCACGGGTCTTCGCGACCTTCTCGTGTCCGTCCATGACCTCTGTGTCCATTTGTGACCTTCTCATGTCCACCCATCACCTTTGTGTCCATCCTTGACCTCTGTGTCCATCCCTGACCTCTGTGTCCACCCCAGTGTCCATCCATGACCTCCCTGTGTCCATTTGTGACCTTCTCATGTCCACCCATCACCTTTGTGTCCATCCTTGACCTCTGTGTCCATCCTTGACCTCTGTGTCCACCCCAGTGTCCATCCATGACCTCTGTGTCCATTTGTGACCTTCTCATGTCCACCCATCACCTTTGTGTCCATCCTTGACCTCTGTGTCCATCCATGACCTCTGTGTCCATCCCAGTGTCCATCCATGACCTCTGTGTCCATTTGTGACCTTCTCATGTCCACCCATCACCTTTGTGTCCATCCTTGACCTCTGTGTCCGTCCATGACCTCTGTGTCCACCCCCGTGTCCATCCATGACCTCTGTGTCCATTTGTGACCTTCTCATGTCCACCCATCACCTTTGTGTCCATCCTTGACCTCTGTGTCCATCCTTGACCTCTGTGTCCACCCCAGTGTCCATCCATGACCTCTGTGTCCATTTGTGACCTTCTCATGTCCACCCATCACCTTTGTGTCCATCCTTGACCTCTGTGTCCATCCTTGACCTCTGTGTCCACCCCAGTGTCCATCCATGACCTCTGTGTCCATTTGTGACCTTCTCATGTCCACCCATCACCTTTGTGTCCATCCTTGACCTCTGTGTCCATCCATGACCTCTGTGTCCATCCCAGTGTCCATCCATGACCTCCCCGTGTCCATCCCTGACCTCTGTGTCCATTTGTGACCTTCTCATGTCCATGATCTTTGTGTCCATCCCAGTGTCCATCCACGACCTTTTGGTTCCATCCTTGACCTCTGTGTCCATCCCCATGTCCATCCCTGTGTCCATCCCTGTCCTCCCCATGTCCATCCTTGCCCTTTGTGTTTGTGACCTTCTCGTGTCCATCCTTGACTTCTCATGTCCATCCATGACCTCTGTGTCCATCCCCGTGTCCACTCTTGACCTTCTCATGTCCACCCCTGACCTCCAAGTGTCCACCCATGACCTCTGTGTCCATCCCAGTGTCCATCCCTGACCTCCCCATGTCCACCCATGACCTCCAAGTGTCCATCCATGATCTCCTGGTGACCCCGTGGTGACCCTGGTGGTGACCCTGGTGGTGACCCCACGGTGACCCCGCGGTGACCCCTTTGTGTCCCCCCCCCCGCAGCCCCCCGGCCCCCCCGGGACCTGAACACAGGTGAGGAGGAGGAGGAGGAGGAGGAGGAGGAAGGTGACGATGAGGATGGTGGTGGTGGTGGTGGTGGTGGGATGAAGATGATGATGGTGGTGGTGGGATGGTGATGATGGTGATGGTGATGGTGGTGGTGGTGGTGGGATGATGATTGTGGGATGAAGATGACGATGGTGATGATGGGATGATGGTGGGATGATGATTGTGGGATGAAGATGACGATGGTGATGATGGGATGATGGTGGGATGATGATGGTGGTGCTGGGATGAAGATGAGGGTGGCGGTGGGATGATGGTGGTGGTGGGATGGTGATGGTGATGATGATGATGGTAGTGGCGGTGGTGGGATGATGATGGTGCTGGGATGAAGATGAGGGTGGTGGTGGGATAAAGATGATGATGATGATGGTAGTGGTGGTGGTGGGATGATGATTGTGGGATGAAGATGACGATGGTGATGATGATGGGATGATGGTGGGATGATGATGGTGGTGCTGGGATGAAGATGAGGGTGGCGGTGGGATGATGGTGGTGGTGGGATGGTGATGGTGATGATGATGATGGTAGTGGTGGTGGTGGGATGATGATGGTGCTGGGATGAAGATGAGGGTGGTGGTAGGATAAAGATGATGATGATGATGGTAGTGGTGGTGGTGGGATGATGATTGTGGGATGAAGATGACGATGGTGATGATGGGATGATGGTGGGATGATGATGGTGGTGCTGGGATGAAGATGAGGGTGGCGGTGGGATGATGGTGGTGGTGGGATGGTGATGGTGATGATGATGATGGTAGTGGTGGTGGTGGGATGATGGTGGTGGTGGTGGGATGAAGATGAGGGTGGCGGTGGGATGAAGGTGGTGGTGGTGAGATGAAGACGATGATGGTGGTGGTGAGATGATGATGGTGGTGATGATGATGATGGTGGTGGTGGGATAAAGATGATGATGGTAGTGGTGGTGGTGGGATGATGATGATGGTGATGGTGATGGTGGTGGTGGTGGTGGGATGATGATTGTGGGATGAAGATGACGATGGTGATGATGGGATGATGGTGGGATGATGATTGTGGGATGAAGATGACGATGGTGGTGATGGGATGATGGTGGGATGATGATTGTGGGATGAAGATGACGATGGTGGTGATGGGATGATGGTGGGATGATGATGGTGGTGCTGGGATGAAGATGAGGGTGGCGGTGGGATGATGGTGGTGGTGGGATGGTGATGGTGATGATGATGATGGTAGTGGTGGTGGTGGGATGATGATGGTGCTGGGATGAAGATGAGGGTGGTGGTAGGATAAAGATGATGATGATGATGGTAGTGGTGGTGGTGGGATGATGATGGTGGGATGAAGATGACGATGGTGATGATGATGGGATGATGGTGGGATGATGATGGTGGTGGTGGTGGGATGAAGATGAGGGTGGCGGTGGGATGATGGTGGTGGTGGGATGGTGATGGTGATGATGATGATGGTAGTGGTGGTGGTGGGATGATGATGGTGGTGGTGGGATGAAGATGAGGGTGGCGGTGGTGGGATGATGATGGTGCTGGGATGAAGATGAGGGTGGTGGTGGGATAAAGATGATGATGATGATGGTAGTGGTGGTGGTGGGATGATGATGGTGGGATGAAGATGACGATGGTGATGATGATGGGATGATGGTGGGATGATGGTGGTGGTGGTGGGATGAAGATGAGGGTGGCGGTGGGATGAAGGTGGTGGTGGTGAGATGAAGATGATGATGGTGGTGGTGAGATGATGATGGTGGTGATGATGATGATGGTGGTGGTGGGATAAAGATGATGATGGTAGTGGTGGTGGTGGGATGATGATGATGGTGGGATGAAGATGATGGTGGTGGTGGGATGATGATGGTGGTGATGATGATGGGGTGGTGGGACGAAGATGGTGAAGATGGTGATGTGGGATGAAGATGATGATGACAATGATGGTGTTGGTGGTGGGATGATGGTGGGGTGGTGGGATGAAGATGACGATGATGATGGTGCTGGTGCAATGGTGGTGGGATGATAACGGTGGTGTTGGTGGGATGATGGGGTGGTGGGATGAAGATGATGGTGGTGGTGGGATGAAGATGGTGGGATGAAGATGACGATGGTGGTGGTGGGATTATGATGTTGGGATAATGGAGATGACAACGACGATGGTGGTGGTGGTAGTGGGATGATGATGGTGGTGGTGGGATGGTGACGATGATAATGGTGGTGAGATGATGATGATGGGGTGATGAAGACGACGATGATGATGGTGTGGTGGGATGAAGATGATGATCATGATGATGGTGGTGGTGGGATGAAGATGACAATGATGACAGTGGTGTGATGATGATGATGATGAGGTGGTGGGATGAAATTTATTCAGATGGTAATGGCGGTGGTGGGATGATGATGGCGGGATGATGATGATGATGACAATGATGATGATGGGGTGGTGGGATGAAGATGACAATGATGACAGTGGTGTGATGATGATGATGATGGGGTGGTGGGATGAAATTGATTCAGATGGTAATGGCGGTGGTGGGATGATGATGGCGGGATGACGATGATGATGGGATGAAGATGGTGGGATGATGATGATGATGACAATGATGATGATGGGGTGGTGGGATGAAGATGACAATGATGACAGTGGCGTGATGATGATGATGATGAGGTGGTGGGATGAAATTGATTCAGATGGTAATGGCGGTGGTGGGATGATGATGGCGGGATGATGATGGGATGATGATGGCGGGACGACGATGATGATGGGATGATGATGGCGGGATGATGATGATGATGACAATAATGATGATGGGGTGGTGGGATGAAGATGACGATGATGACGATGATGATGATGACGATGATGATGAGGTGGTGGGATGAAATTGATTCAGATGGTAATGGCGGTGGTGGGATGATGATGGCGGCATGGCGATGATGATGAGGTGAAGAAGATGATGGTGGTGGTGGGATGACAATTGCGGGATGAAGATGATGATGGGGTGATGAAGATGATGATGGGAGGCTGGGATTAAGATGATGGTGGTGGTGGGATGATGATGATGATGGGGTTAGGATGGTGATGGGGTGATGAAGATGACAACGGTGGTAGTGATGGTGGGATGATGATGGTGGTGATGTGATGGTGACAATGATGACATGACAATGATGATGATGATGATAATGGGATGAAGATGATGATGATGATGATGATGATGATGATGATGGGATTAGGATGACGATGGGGTGATGAAGATGACAACGGTGGTGGTGATGGTGGGAGGATGATGATGATGATGATGATGATGATGGGGTTAGGATGGTGATGGGGTGATGAAGATGACAATGGTGGTGGTGGGATGACGATGGTGGTGATGTGATGGTGACAATGATGACATGACAATGACGATGACAATAATGGGATGAAGATGATGATGATGATGATGATGATGATGATGATGACGGGATTAGGATGACGATGGGGTGATGAAGATGACAACGGTGGTGGTGACGGTGGGAGGAGGACGGTGGTGACGTGATGGTGACAATGATGACAATGACGATGACAATAATGGGATGAAGACGATGACAATGACGATGATGACGATGATGATGGTGTGATGAAGACGACCACGAGGACCATAACGAGTGACCCCACCCCATGTCCCCCCCCCAGGTCGCCTGCTGGAACCACTGGGAGCCCCACTGGGAGCACTGGGAGCACTGGGAGCCCCACTGGGGGGACTGGGAGCCCCACTGGGAGCACTGGGAGCCCCACTGGGAGCACTGGGGGGACTGGGAGCCCCACTGGGGGGACTGGGAGCCCCACTGGGAGCACTGGGGGGACTGGGAGGATTGGGGGGACTGGGGGGACTGGGGGGACTGGGAGGGGCACTGGGAGCCCCACTGGGAGCACTGGGAGCACTGGGAGCCCCACTGGGAGCTCTGGGGCCGCTCCCGAGGGTCCCCCTGGGGCCGTGAACTGGGGGGGCACTGGGGACAATAAAGGCACTGGTGTGAACTGGGGGGCACTGGGAGGGACTGGGAGGGGATTGGGAGGGAACTGGGACAAACTGGGACAAACTGGGAGGGGATTGGGGGGCACTGGGAGGGACTGGGAGCCCCACTGGGAGCACTGGGAGCACTGGGAGCCCCACTGGGAGCTCTGGGGCCGCTCCCGGGGGTCCCCCTGGGGCCGTGAACTGGGGGGGCACTGGGGACAATAAAGGCACTGGTGTGAACTGGGGGGCACTGGTGTGAACTGGGGGGCACTGGGAGGGACTGGGATGTACTGGGATGGACTGGGATGAACTGGGAGCACTGGGAGGGACCGGGAGGGACTGGGAGGGAACTGGGATGCACTGCAAGGCAACTCGGAGGGACTGGGACAAACTGGGAGGGACTGGGAGGGACTGGGGGACTCTGGGGACGATAAAGGCACTGGTGTCACCTGGCGGTCACTGGTGTGAACTGGGGGGCACTGGGAGGGACTGGGAGGGAACTGGGAGGGACTGGGACAAACTGGGAGCACTGGGGCCGCTCCCGGGGGTCCCCCTGGGGCCGTGAACTGGGGGACACTGGGGACAATAAAGGCACTGGCGTGAACTGGGGGGCACTGGTGTGAACTGGGGGGCACTGGGAGGAACTGGGGGGCACTGGGAGGAACTGGGGGGCACTGGGAGGAACTGGGAGGGAACTGGGAGGGACTGGGATGAACTGGGAGGGACTGGGAGGGACCGGGAGGGACTGGGAGGGAACTGGGATGCACTGCAAGGCAACTCGGAGGGACTGGGACAAACTGGGAGGGACTGGGAGGGACTGGGGGACTCTGGGGACGATAAAGGCACTGGTGTCACCTGGCGGTCACTGGTGTGAACTGGGGGGCACTGGGAGGGACTGGGAGGCACTGGGAGGGACTGGGACAAACTGGGAGCACTGGGGCCGCTCCCGGGGGTCCCCCTGGGGCCGTGAACTGGGGGGGCACTGGGGACAATAAAGGCACTGGCGTGAACTGGGGGGCACTGGTGTGAACTGGGGGGCACTGGGAGGGACTGGGAGGGGATTGGGGGGCACTGGGAGGGAACTGGGAGGGACTGGGATGGACTGGGATAAACTGGGAGGGGACTGGGAAGGACTGGGATAAACTGGGAGGGGACTGGGAAGGACTGGGGTGAACTGGGATGGACTGGAAGGGAACTGGGAGGGGACTGGGATGGACTGGGAGAGACTGGGAGGGACTGGGATCAAACTGGGAGGGACTGGGAGGGACTGGGAGGGACTGGGAGGGACTGGGATAAACTGGGAGGGGACTGGGAGGGACTGGGGTGAACTGGGATGGACTGGAAGGGAACTGGGAGGGGACTGGGATGGACTGGGAGGGACTGGGATCAAACTGGGAGGGACTGGGAGGGACTGGGAGGGGACTGGAACTGGAACAAACTCCCCCCAAATATCCCAGAATGACCCTAAATTGTCCCCAACCCCCCCAAATTGTCCCCAAACGCCCCCAAATTGTCCCCAAACGCCCCTAATTGTCCCCAGACCCTCCCAAATGTCCCCGAATCGTCCCTAGACGACCCCAAAAGTCCCCAGATTGTCCCCAACCTCCCCACATGTCCCCAAAGTGTCCCCAAATGTCCCCGCAATGAAGGGCCCAACCCCAGTTTTTAACCCTTTATTGCCGGCGTCCTCTCCCCGGCGCGGGGGGGGGTGGCATTGTCACGGTTTGGGGACAATGTCACAACGTCACAACGCGGGGAGCCGCGTCCCCCCCCTCCCCCCGCGGTGTCACCTCCCCCCGGCCGTGTCCCCTCGGTGTCACCGGGGCTCGGGGACAGCTCAGATCTTGCCGGGGAAGGTCCCCTCCTCACGGGCCTCGTCCCACGCCGTCACCTGGGGACAGACAGGGGACATTTGGGGACACTGTGGGGGTTTGGGGACACTGGGGACATTTGGGGACATTGGGGATGTTTGGGACATTGGGGACATTTGGGGGTTGGGGACGGAGAAGAGATTGGGGACATTGAGGATGTTGGGAGGGTTGGGGATATTGGGGACAAAGAGGACATTGGGGACATTGGGGGGGTTGGGGACATTGGGGACATTTGGGACATTGGGGGTTGGGGACATTAATGGGGACATTGGGGACAGTGAGGGGACATTGGGAACATTAATGGGGACAGTGGGGACATTTGGGGGGGTTGGGGACATTGGGGGGGTGGGGACATGTTTGGGACATTGGGGACATTGGGGGGGTTGGGGACATTGGGGGTTGGGGACATTAATGGGGACATTGGGGACAGTGAGGGGACATTGGGGACATTAATGGGGACAGTGGGGACATTTGGGGGGGTTGGGGACATTGGGGGGGTGGGGACAGTAGGGAGGATTGGGGACATTTGAGGGGTTGGGGACATTGGGGACATTGGGGGGATTGGGGACATGTTTGGGACATTGGGGACATTGGGGGGGTTGGGGACATTGGGGGGCATTGGGGACATTGGGGGTTGGGGACATTAATGGGGACATTGGGAGGATTGGGGACATTGGGGACATTAATGGGGACAGTGGGGACATTTGGGGGGGTTGGGGACATTAGGGGGGGGCCAGTAGGGAGGATTGGGGACATCTGAGGGGTTGGGGACATTGGGGACATTGGGGGGTTGGGGACATTGGGGGGATTGGGGACATGTTTGGGACATTGGGGACATTGGGGGGGTTGAGGACATTGGGGACATTTGGGACATTGGGGGTTGGGGACATTAATGGGGACATTGGGGACAGTGAGGGGACATTGGGGACATTAATGGGGACAGTGGGGACATTTGGGGGGGTTGGGGACATTAGGAGGAGGGACAGTAGGGAGGATTGGGGACATTTGAGGGGTTGGGGACATTGGGGACATTGGGGGGTTGGGGACATTGGGGGGATTGGGGACATGTTTGGGACATTGGGGACATTGGGGGGGTTGGGGACATTGGGGACATTTGGGACATTGGGGGTTGGGGACATTAATGGGGACAGTGGGGACAGTGAGGGGACATTGGGGACATTAATGGGGACAGTGGGGACATTTGGGGGGGTTGGGGACATTAGGGGGGGGACAGTAGGGAGGATTGGGGACATCTGAGGGGTTGGGGACATTGGGGACATTGGGGGGTTGGGGACATTGGGGGGATTGGGGACATGTTTGGGACATTGGGGACATTGGGGGGGTTGGGGACATTGGGGACATTTGGGACATTGGGGGTTGGGGACATTAATGGGGACAGTGGGGACAGTGAGGGGACATTGGGGACATTAATGGGGACAGTGGGGACATTTGGGGGGGTTGGGGACATTAGGGGGGGGACAGTAGGGAGGATTGGGGACATCTGAGGGGTTGGGGACATTGGGGACATTGGGGGGTTGGGGACATTGGGGGGATTGGGGACATGTTTGGGACATTGGGGACATTGGGGGGGTTGGGGACATTGGGGGGCATTGGGGACAGTGAGGGGACATTGGGGGTTGGGGACATTAATGGGGACATTGGGGACAGTGAGGGGACATTGGGGACATTAATGGGGACAGTGGGGACATTGGGGGGGTTGGGGACATTGGGGGGGTGGGGACAGTAGGGAGGATTGGGGACATTTGAGGGGTTGGGGACATTGGGGACATTGAGGGGATTGGGGACATGTTTGGGACGTTGGGGACATTGGGAGGTTGGGACATTGGGGACATTGGGGGGACATTTGGGGACATTGGGGATTGGGGACATTAATGGGGACAGCGGCAGGTTGGGGACATTGGGGGTTTGGGGACATTGGGGGGATTGGGGACATTGGGGACATTAACGGGGGCATTGGGGACATTGGGGACATTGGGGGGTTGGGGACAGTAGGCAGGACTGGGGACATTTGAGGGGTTGGGGACATCGGGGACATTGGGGGGATTGGGGACATTAATGGGGACAGTGGGAGGTTGGGGACATTGGGGACACTGGCAACAGTGAGGGGACATTGGGGACATTTGGGGATTGGGGACTTTGGGGACATGGGAGGGACTGGAGACATTTGGGGACAGAGAAGAAATTGGGGACACCTGGGGACATTTGGGGACATCAGAGGGGTTGGGGACATTGGGGACATTAATGGGGACATTGGGGACAGCGGGGACATTGGGGACCTTGGGGACACTTTGGGGACATTTGGGGATGGGGCTTGGAGAGATTGGGGGACATTTGGGGACAGCACTCACCCAGGAGGCGGGACACCCTTGGGGACACTCTGGGGACATTAAGGCCCCTTGGGGACATTTGGGGACACTGGGGGTTGGGGACATTGGAGCCATTGGTGACATTTGGTGACATTGGTGACATCTGGGGACATCGCTCACCCACGAGGTGGGGCACAGGGGACATTGGTGACATTTGGTGCCATCACTCACCCCTGAGCTGGGGCACCCTTGGAGACCCTTGGGGACATTTGGGGACACCTTGGGGACATTGGAGGGAATGGGGACTATTGGGGCCCTTTGAGGACACTTTGGGGACATTTGGGGACATTGGGGGTTGGTGACATTGGGGACATTGGAGGGACTGGGGACATTGGTGACCCTTGGGGACATTTGGGGACATTGGTGACGTTTGGGGGCATCACTCACCCACGAGGTGGGGCACAGGGGGACATTTGGGGACATTGGTGACACTTGGGGACATTTGGGGACATTTGGTGACACTCACCCACGAGGTCGGGCACAGGGACTTGTAGACGCGGAAGTACCACTGGCACGGGGTGGCATCGGCGCCGCGGGCGTCCATGGCGCGCTGGCACCGCTGGAAATCTGGGGACAAACGGGGACATTGGGGACATTGGGGACATTGGGGACATTGGGGACATTGGGGACACTGAGGGGACAATGGTGGCATCGGCGCCGCGGGCGTCCATGGCGCGCTGGCACCGCTGGAAATCTGAGGACACAATGGGGACAGTGGGGACATTGGGGACAATGGGGACATTGGGGACAATGGGGGATCAGGGACATTGGGGACATTGGGGACAATGAGGGATCAGGGACATTGGGGACACTGAGAGGACATTGGGGACACTGAGGGGACACTGGGGACACTGAGGGGACATTGGGGACATTGGGGACATTGGGGACACTGAAGGGACATTGGGGACATTGAGGACACTGAGGGGACAATGGTGGCATCGGCGCCGCGGGCGTCCATGGCGCGCTGGCACCGCTGGAAATCTGGGGACAACAATGGGGACATTGGGGACATTGGGGACATTGGGGACAATGGGGACATTGGGGGATCAGAGACATTGGGGACATTGGGGACAATGAGGGATCAGGGACATTGGGGACACTGAGAGGACATTGGGGACACTGGGGGGACACTGGGGACACTGAGGGGACATTGGGGACATTGGGGACATTGGGGACAATGGGGACACTGAGGGGACATTGGAGACATTGGGGACACTGAGGTGACAATGGTGGCATCAGCGCCGCGGGCGTCCATGGCGCGCTGGCACCGCTGGAAATCTGGGGACAAACGGGGACATTGGGGACATTGGGGACACTGGGGACATTGGGGACATTGGGGACACTGAGGTGACAATGGTGGCATCGGCGCCGCGGGCGTCCATGGCGCGCTGGCACCGCTGGAAATCTGGGGACAAACGGGGACATTGGGGACACTGAGGGGACATTGGGGACAATGGGGGATCAGGGACATTGGGGACATTGGGGACACTGAGGGGACATTGGGGACAATGGGGACACTGAGGTGACAATGGTGGCATCGGCGCCGCGGGCGTCCATGGCGCGCTGGCACCGCTGGAAATCTGGGGACAACAATGGGGACACATTGGGGACATTGGGGACAATGGAGACATTGGGGACATGGGGGACAATGGGGACATTGGGGACATTGGGGACACTGAGGAGACAATGGGAACATTGGAGACATTGAGGGGATTGGGGACATTGGGGACAGTGAGAGGACATTGAGGACACTGGGGACATTGGGGACATTTTGGGGACATTGGGGACAGTGAGGGGACATTGGGGGATTGGGGACATTGAGGACATTGGGGACATTGGGGGACATTTTACGGACATCGGGGACATTGGAGACAATGGGGACATTTTGGGGACACTGAGGGGACATTGGGGACAATGGCGACATTGAGGTGACACTGGGGACATGGAGGACATTGAGAGAACAATGGGGACAGCGAGAGGATTGAGAACATGGGGGACATTGGGGACAATAAGGGGACATTGGGGACAATAAGGGGACATTTGGGGACATTGGGGACATTTGGGGACAATAAGGGGACATTTGGGGACATTTGGGGACATCGAGTGGCTGGAGCAGGGAGGAAAAACCCCAAATTTGGGCATTTTTGGGGCATTTTTTGTGGGATTTTTGTGGGAATTTTTGCATTTTGGGGATTTTGGGGTTCCCCAGGAGGATTTTGGGGTGAATTTGGGGCATTTTGGGAGTTTTGGGGGAAGATTTTGGGGATAAAACCCACAAATTTGGGCATTTTTGGGGCATCTTTGGGAGCATTTTTGAGGCAATTTTGGGGCATTTTTGGGGCATTTTTTGGGGTTTTTGGGGCGTTTTTAGTGGGATATTTGTGGGAATTTTTGAATTTTTGGGATTTTGGGGTTCCCCAGGAGGATTTTGGGGTGAATTTGGGACATTTTGGGAGTTTTGGGGGAAGATTTTGGGGATAAAACCCACAAATTTGGGCATTTTTGGGGCATCTTTGGGAGCATTTTTGAGGCAATTTTGGGGCATTTTTTGGGGTTTTTGGGGCGTTTTTAGTGGGATATTTGTGGGAATTTTTGAATTTTTGGGATTTTGGGGTTCCCCAGGAGGATTTTGGGGTGAATTTGGGACATTTTGGGAGTTTTGGGGGAAGATTTTGGGGATAAAACCCCCAAATTAGGGCATTTTTGGGGCATCTTTGGAGCATTTTTTGGGGCATTTTTATGGGAATTTTTGTGGGATTTTTGTGGGGATTTTTGCATTTTCGATATTTTGGGGTTCCCCAGGAGGATTTTGGGGTGAGTTGGGGAATTTTGAGAGTTTTTGGGGAAGATTTTGGGGATAAAAACCCCAAATTTGATCACTTTGGGGGCATTTTTGGGCCATTTTTTGTAGGACTTTTATGGAACTTTTTAGATTTATGGGATTTTGGGGTTCCCCAGGAGGATTTTGGGCTGAATTTTGGGGTGAATTTGGGGGATTTTGGGAGTTTATGGCAAACATTTTGGGGATGAAAAACCCCAAATTTGGGCATTTTTGGGGCATTTTTATGGCACTTTTTGTGGGATTTTTGTGGGATTTTTTGCGTTTTTTGGATTTTGGGGTTCCCCGTGTGGATTTTGGGGTGAATTTGAGGCATTTGGGGAGTTTTTGGGGAAGATTTTGGGGATAAAAATGCCCCAAATTTGAGCATTTTGGGGCAATTTCGGGGCAATTTTTGAGGTTTTTGGGGTTTTTTGGGGCATTTTCATGGGAATTTTTGTGGGATTTTTGCGGGAATTTTTGCGTTTTTGGGATTTTGGGGTTCCCCGTGTGGATTTTGGGGTGAATTTGGGGCATTTTGGGGTTTGTACCCAGGTAGTTCTGCCAGCAGTTCCTGGTCTGGTTCTGATTGGGGAAGCGGCAACAAAAACCCAAATTTGGGCATTTTTGGGGCATTTTTGGAGCATCTTTTGGGGCATTTTTATGGGAATTTTGGTGGGATTTTTGTGGGAATTCTTGTATTTTCCATATTTTGGGGTTCCCCAGGAGGATTTTGGGGTGAATTTGGAGGATTTTGGGAGTTTTGGGGGAAGATTTTGGGGATAAAACCCACAAACTTGGGCATTTTTGAGGCATCTTTGGGAGCATTTTTGGGGCAATTTTGGACCTTTTTTTGTGGTTTTTGGGGCCATTTTTTGTGGGATTTTTGCGGGAATTTTTGCGGTTTTGGGATTTTGGGGTTCCCCGTGTGGATTTTGGGGTGAATTTGGGGCATTTTGGGCTTCGTCCCCAGGTAGTTCTGCCAGCAGTTGCGGGTCTGGTTCTGGTTGGGGAAGCGGCAACAAAAACCCCAAATTTGGGCATTTTTGGGGCAATTTTTGTAGAATTTTTGTGGGAATTTTTGCATTTTTTGGATTTTGGGGCTCCCCAGGAGGATTTTGGGGTGAATTTGAGGCATTTGGGGAGTTTTTGGGGAAGATTTTGGGGATAAAAATGCCCCAAATTTGAGCATTTTGGGGCAATTTTGGACCTTTTTTTGTGGTTTTTGGGGCCATTTTTTGTGGGATTTTTGCGGGAATTTTTGCGATTTTGGATTTTGGGGTTCCCCGTGTGGATTTTGGGGTGAATTTGGGGCATTTTGGGGTTCGTACCCAGGTAGTTCTGCCAGCAGTTGCGGGTCTGGTTCTGGTTGGGGAAGCGGCTGTCGAACGGCGCCGTCTTGTAGCGGCAAAGCTTCAGCTTCATGTCCTCGGCCATGGCTAATCTGCATAATTAAAGGCGTTAATTAACACCTTCGTTCATTAATCACCCTCTAGAGAGCGTTAATTAGCAGCCTCAGAGGGTTAATTGCTGAAAAAGTTGGGAAAAAAGTTCATTTTCCCATCTTTTAATGAGAGTTTAAAAGACGAAAATGTCGCTTCGGCTCAGTCTAGGCTGTTAATTAGTTCGTTAGCTGTTAATTAGTTCGTTAATTATTAATTAATGTCAACTAATTATGGAAAATAAAGGAATTAAGTAGAAGTAGGAGCACATTGTGAAAACGTTCACTATTTCAATTAACAGCTGATTAATGTTCTAAACAAGAGATTAGAACCTAACTAATTAATTAATGATTATGTTACCCTGTTAATTAGCTCATTAATTATTAAACAATAGATTAAAGCCTAATTAATTAATTAATGGCTAAGCTCCCCTGGTAATTAGCTCTTTAATTATTAATTAATATCGCTCACTAATTAAAAATAAACAAATTAAGTAAGAATAGAATCACATTAAGAAATCATTAACTATTGTAATTAACAGATAATTAATTGGCTAAACAACTGGTTAGACCCTAATTAATTAATTACTAGGCCAGCCTGTTAACTAGCTCATTAGTTATTAATTAATGTCACCTAACAATGCAAATAAAAGAATTACGTAAAAACAGAAACACATTACATCTTCATTAGTGATTCTAATTAGCAGCTAGTTAATTAGTTAAATCGCTGGTTAGTTAGTTATCTGCCTAGCTTGTTAATTAGCTCATTAAACTGTTAATTAACCCACCCTGCAATGACAAAACGAAATAAAACAGAAGCAGAAATAGCAAAGACCGAAACATCATTAATTATGCTAATTAGCAGCTAATTATTTAGTTAGCAAGCTGATCAGTACAGAGTTAATGAAAGACCAATCTAGTCTATTAATTATTCATTAATTATGCATTAATCCTGCCCCGCAATACCAAACAAGGGAATAAGGCCGATATGAAATTAGTGGAGAGACTGAAACCTCATTAGTGATGCTAATTAGCAGCAATTAATTAGTTGGAAAATTGATTAACTCCTAACTAATGAGCTAAAAAATCCAACTACTTAATTAGCTCATTAATTAATATTAATTAACCCCACCCAGCATTACCAAGTAAGGGAATAAACTGCGAGCGGAAGCAGCAAAGCTCATTAATTATGCAAATGAGCAATATGCAAATTACTGCCCTCCCAGTTCAAACCAGTTCATCCCAGTCACCCCCCAGTTCACCCCAGTGCCCTCCCAGTTCAAACCAGTTCAAACCAGTTCAAACCAGTAACCCCTCCTGATGCTCCCAGTAACCCCCAGTGCCCTCCCAGTTCAAACCAGTAACCCCCAGACCTGTCCCAGTTCATCCTGATTCCCTCCCAGTTCAAACCAGCATCCCCCCAGACCCCTCCCAGTACATCCCAGTTCAAACCAGTAACCTCTGCCAGTGCTCCCAGTTCATCCCAGTAACCCCCAGACCTGTCCCAGTTCATCCTAGCTCCCTCCCAGTTCAAACCAGTAACCTCATAGACCCCTCCCAGTTCAAACCAGTAACCCCCACAGACCCCTCCCAGTGCTCCCAGTTCGCCCCAGACCCCTCCCAGTTCACCCCAGTTCATCCCAGTAACCCCCCAGACCCCTCCCAATTCCCCTCAGACCCCTCCCAGTTCATCCAGTAACCCCCCAGACCCCTCCCAGTTCCCCTCAGACCCCTCCCAGTTCATCCCAGTAACCCCCAGTCCGGCCCTCACCGCCCTCAGCGCTCCCCTCACGACCCTCGCACCCCCCCCAGTCCCTCCCAGTTTGTCCCAGTTTATCCCAGTCCATCCCAGTACCCCCCCCAGCGCTCCCAGTAGCCCCCAGTCCCCCCCAGTCCCTCCCAGTCCGTCCCAGTCCGTCCCAGTACGTCCCAGCTCTCAAAGTCACTTTCACCCCCGCTCTCCGCTCGCCGGAACCAACGAGACGCGACGGAAGCGACGGAGAGCCGCCGGAAATGACGTCACTAAAGACCACAGAGCGCCGGCTTCGGGCCGGAGCGTCTCCTCCGGGAGGAAAAATGGCGGCAGCCCCCGCCCGCGAGGTCCGCCGAACTGCCCAGAAACGGCGCCAAAACGCCGCGAGCGGCCAAAAAACCCCATTAGAGCCCCAAAATCCCCATTTTTTACCCAAAAATTTCCATTTTTGACCTAAAATCCCCATTTTTTACCCCAAAATCGCCTTTTCCACCCCTAATCTCCCATTTTTTGTCCCAAAATCGCCATTTTTTTACCTCAAAATCCCCTCAGAAGCCTCCTTGAGGCGCTCTGAGGGCACTTCCGCCAAAAGGTGGGCGGGGTCAGAGCGTCGGGAGCAGGGAGTGCGCATGCGCGGAGCTGGGAAGGGAGACTGATTGTGGCGTCATTTCGGTTCCGGCACAGACGCGCGGGCCACGCGTGGAGAGAGCGGCGCGATGAGGCCGGGTGGGAACTGGGACAAACTGGGACAAACTGGGATAAACTGGGAGGGACTGGGGGGGACTGGGATGGACTGGGAGGGACTGGGACGGGATTGGGAGAGCATTCAGGGGCAACTGGGATGGACTGGGGCAAACTGGGAGAGACTGGGAGAGGATTTGGGGGAACTGGGGATAAACTGGGAGGGAACTTGGGGAGGATTTGGGGGTAACTGGGACGGACTGGGGGGACTGGGAGCGACTGGGAGGGGACTGGAAGGGACTGGGATAAACTGGGATGGACTGGGAGGGGATTTGGGGGTATTTGGGATAAACTGGGAGGGACTGGGAGCGACTGGGATGGGAATGGGGGGAACTGGGAGAGAATTTGGGGGTAACTGGGATAAACTGGGATGGACTGGGGGGAAACTGGGATAGATTGGGACAAACTGGGATGAACTGGGAGGGACTGGGAGAGGATTTGGCGGGAACTGGGACAGACTGGGAGGGAACTGGGGGAACTGGGATAAACTGGGGGGAAGTGAGCGGGGGAGAGTCGACGAACTGGTTTGAACTGGGAGGGAACTGGGAGAGGGAACACTGGGGTTACTGGGATATACTGGGAGAGGACTGGGATGGGATTGGGAGGGACTGGGATGGACTGGGAGAGGATCAGAGGGTAACTGGGATGGACTGGGAGGGGAACTGGGCCTTACTGGGATGGAGGCAGGGCTGAACTGGGGACACTGGGAGAGGATTTGGGGGTAACTGGGATATACTGGGAGGCACTGGGAGGAACTGGAAGGGACTGGGAACAAACTGGGATGGACTGGGAGGGGATTGGGATGGACTGGGAACAAACTGGGATGGACTGGGAGCAACTGGGAAGGGGCTTGGGGGCTTGGAAGTGAACTGGGAGCACTGGGAGGGAACTGGGTTATACTGGGAGGGAACTGGGATGAACTGGGATGAACTGGAAAGGAACTGGGTTATACTGGGATATAATGGGAGGGACTGGGGGGAACTGGGAGAGGATTTGGGGGTAACTGGGATATACTGGGAGGACTGGGACAGGATTTGGGGTAACTGGGACAGACTGGGAGGGAACTGGGATAAACTGGGATGGACTGGGAGAGGATTTGGGGGTAACTGGGATAAACTGGGGGACTGGGATAAACTGGGAGGGAACTGGGAAGGGATTTGGGGGTAACTGGAATAAACTGGGAGGGACTGGAAGAGGATTTGGTGGGAACTGGAACAGACTGGGATGGACTGGGAGGGACTGGGATGGACTGGGAGAGGATTTGGGGGGACTGGGTTATACTGGGAGGGACTGGGATAAACTGGGAGGAACTGGGGGGGACTGGGAAGGGATTTGGGGGGAACTGGGATAAACTGGGCCAAACTGGGAGAGACTGGAGGGGACTGGCAGGGACTGGGAGAGGATTTGGGGGGAACTGGGATGGACTGGATAAACTGGGATGGACTGGGAGAGGATTTGGGGGGAACTGGGATGGACTGGGATAAACTGGGATGGACTGGGAGAGGATTTGGGGGAACTGGGACAAACTGGGGGGGACTGGGACAAACAGGGAGGGGTCTGGGATGGACTGGGAGGGAACTGGGTTACTGGGATGGACTGGGAGGGAACTGGGCCATACTGGGATGGACTGGGAGGGAACTGGGCCATACTGGGATGGAGCCAGAGGTGAACTGGGGACACTGGGAGGGAACTGGGGTGAACTGGGGACACTGGGAGGGAACTGGGATGGACTGGGAGGGAACTGGGAGCGTTTTGGGGGTAACTGGTTTGTACTGGGTTATACTGGGAAGGACTGGGGGGGGGGGGGGGGGCGTTGGAGCCAAACTGGAGCACTGGGAGGCTCCAGAGCCGCTCCCAGTATAACCCAGTACATCCAGTATAACCCAGTCCATCCCAGTTCCCTCCCAGTCCATCCCAGTTTGTCCCAGTCCCCTCCCAGTCCTTCCCAGTTTGATCCCAGTATATCCCAGTCCCTCCCAGTATATCCAGTCCATCCCAGTCTGACCAGTTTCCCCACAGGTTTCAGCCCCGGGGTGGACGCGGTGGATTCCGAGGCAGAGGTGAGTCCCAGTATAAACCAGTATGGACCAGTAACGCTCCCAGTATAGCCCAGTATCCCCAGTTCCTCTCCCAGTATATCCCAGTATAACCCAGTTCCCTTCCCGGTCCCTCCCAGTATAAACCAGTACAACCCAGTTCCCTTCCTAGTATATCCCAGTCCCTCCCAGTACAATCCCAGTATCCCCAGTTCCCCTCCCAGTACATCCCAGTATCCCCAGTTTCCTCCCAGTACAAACCAGTATGTCCCAGTATAACCCAGTTCCTCTCCCAGTTCCTCCCAGTATAAACCAGTATACCCCAGTTCCTCTTCCAGTACCCCCAGTTCCTCTCCCAGTCCCTCCCAGTATATCCCAGTTCTCCTCCCAGTATATCCCAGTATAACCCAGTCCCCTCCCAGTCTCTCCCAGTATAACCCAGTTTCCCCCCGCAGGTTCCGGTTTCACGCCCGCGGAGGGGGGCGGAGCCAGAGGAGGGGGCGTGGCCCGCGGAGGGGGCGGAGCCAGAGGCGGCCCCCGGGGGGCGTGGCCGAGGCCGAGGGGGCGGGGCCAGGGGCGGGGCCCGCGGCGGCTTCAAAGGCGGCAAAAAAGTGACGGTGGAGCCGCACAGGCATGAGGGTAACTGGGGATACTGGGTTATACTGGTTTATACTGGGAGGGACTGGAGGGACTGGGAGGGTGGAGCCGCACAGGCATGAGGGTAACTGGGATACTGGGTTATACTGGTTTATACTGGGAGGGACTGGGAGGGACTGGGAGGGTGGAGCCGCACCGGCATGAGGGTAACTGGGGATACTGGGTTATACTGGTTTATACTGGGAGGGACTGGGAGGGACTGGGAGGGTGGAGCCGCACCGGCATGAGGGTAACTGGGGATGCTGGGTTATACTGGTTTATACTGGGAGGGACTGGGAGGGTGGAGCCGCACCGGCATGAGGGTAACTGGGGATACTGGGTTATACTGGTTTATACTGGGAGGGACTGGGAGGGTGGAGCCACACCGGCATGAGGGTAACTGGGGATACTGGGTTATACTGGTTTATACTGGGAGGGACTGGGAGGGACTGGGAGGGACTGGGAGGGTGGAGCCGCACCGGCATGAGGGTAACTGGGGATACTGGGTTATACTGGTTTATACTGGGAGGGACTGGGAGGGTGGAGCCGCACCGGCATGAGGGTAACTGGGGATACTGGGTTATACTGGTTTATACTGGGAGGGACTGGGAGGGTGGAGCCGCACCGGCATGAGGGTAACTGGGGATACTGGGTTATACTGGTTTATACTGGGAGGGACTGGGAGGGTGGAGCCGCACCGGCATGAGGGTAACTGGGGATGCTGGGTTATACTGGTTTATACTGGGAGGGACTGGGAGGGACTGGGAGGGTGGAGCCGCACCGGCATGAGGGTAACTGGGGATACTGGGTTATACTGGTTTATACTGGGAGGGACTGGGAGGGTGGAGCCACACCGGCATGAGGGTAACTGGGGATACTGGGTTATACTGGTTTATACTGGGAGGGACTGGGAGGGACTGGGAGGGTGGAGCCGCACCGGCATGAGGGTAACTGGGGATACTGGTTTGTACTGGGAGGGACTGGGAGAGAGTGTAAGGGTAACTGGGATGGACTGGTTTATACTGGGAGGGACTGGGGATGGGGCTGTGGAGCAGCTGAGGGTCCCAGGTGTATCCCAGGAGTAACCCAGGAGTAACCCAGGTGTATCCCAGGTGTATCCCAGGAGTAACCCAGGTGTATCTCAGGTGTATCCCAGGAGTAACCCAGGTGTATCTCACCCATATCTCACCTGTCCCAGGTGTATCCCAGGTGTAACCCAGGTGTATCCCAGGTGTATCTCAGGTGTATCCCAGGTGTAACCCAGATGTATCCCAGATGTATCCCAGGTGTAACCCAGGTGTATCTCAGGTGTATCCCAGGTGTAACCCAGATGTATCCCAGGTGTAACCCAGGTGTATCCCAGATGTATCCCAGGTGTATCCCAGGTGTATCCCAGGTGTAACCCAGATGTATCTCACCCATATCTCACCTGTCCCAGGTGTGTTCATCTGCCAGGGCCGTGAGGTGTAGTTGCCTGTCCCAGGTGTAACTGAGGTGTAACTCACCTGTCCCTCACCTGTCCCAGGTGTATCCCAGGTGTATTTACCTGTCCCAGGTGTACAATAGGGATATCAGGGTGTATCCCAGGTGTAACCCAGGTGTATCCCAGGTGTATCCCAGGTGTAACTCACCTGTCCCTCACCTGTCCCAGGTGTATCCCAGATGTATCCCAGGTGTAACCCAGGTGTAACCCAGGTGTAACTCACCTGTCCCAGGTGTAACCCAGGTGTAACTCACCTGTCCCTCACCTGTCCAGGTGTATCCCAGATGTAACCCAGGTGTAACTCACCTGTCCCTCACCCTGTCCCAGGTGTATCCCAGGTGTATCCCAGGTGTAACCCAGGTGTAACCCAGGTGTAACTCACCTGTCCCTCACCTGTCCCAGGTGTATCCCAGGTGTATCCCAGGTGTAACCCAGGTGTATCCAGGTGTATCCCAGGTGTAACCCAGGTGTATCCCAGGTGTATCTCACCTGTCCCTCACCTGTCCCAGGTGTATCCCAGATGTATTTACCTGTCCCAGGTGTACAATAGGGATATCAGGTGTATCCCAGGTGTATCCCAGGTGTATCCCAGGTGTATCTCACCTGTCCCTCACCTGTCCCAGGTGTATCCCAGGTGTATCCCAGGTGTAACTCACCTGTCCCAGGTGTATCCAGGTGTATTTACCTGTCC